CCCCCTTCCCCTCCCGCCCCGCCAAGCCTTAGGCCGAGGCGCGGTCGCTTCTAGGGTCGGTTTTATTTAATAAAATAAAGTACAGCAATCAACCAACCGTTGGGAAACGAGGGGGGGGGATCCCGCCACGCTCCCCAGCTCTTCCCTCCCCACAGCCGGGGCCTGCGGCCCCCCCCCCCCTTCGCCCACCCTCCACGACAGGGCTGCTTCACTCCCACCGGCCTGGCGTTTTTTGTTTGGTTTGGTTTTTTTCTTTTTTAGCTGGTTAAAGGTGTGCGGTCTGGTGCCGAGCGTGTTGCCACCGAAGCTGTTGCGGCCCCTGGGGACGTAGCAGAGGAGCATGCGGGTGGGCTGCCATTCCCAAATGAGTCGGGGCCTGCTGAGGGGCCCTGGGGATGGGTGGGTAGACGGGAAACCCAAGAGCCGGTGATGGAGGAGGAAAAAACAACAAAAAAACCCCAACAAAAAAACCCCAACAAAAAACCAGAGCAGTTGAGGTGGGGAAGGTGGCGGGTGCAGCTCCGAGCTGCCAGATGCAGGGGGCACCCGCAGGCGGGTCAGTTGGAGGAGAGCAGGGAGCTGTGGGACGACAGGTCCATGCTGCTGGCGCTCAGGCCTCTGCTCTCCGCGCGGAGGCCTTGGGTGCCCTGCAAAATACAGCGCCCGTGAGGACCGGTACCTGCAAATCCATGTCCCCCAAAAAGCTGCCAGCCCACCTCCTACCCCCCCACACTTTTGCCTTGCAGGCCAGGACTCCCCCAGCGCCCTTACCAGCCCCCTTAGGTGCCACCTCTGCTCTCCCGGCTCCCATTCTGCGGCTGGAGGGTTTGCCGAGCTCAGCAGGCAGGGAGGTGGTTACTTGGAGGCAACACCTTCATTTGTGGAGCTACCATCTCAGAAGAGGGGCTACGCAGCTGCCCTGGGGGGTGCAAGTGGGGGCACTGGCCCGTGCCACCGCTTGGCAAGGCAAGAGTAGCTCCAGCCCCACGCAGCAGCGGAGTACATCTGTATGGATGAACGCCTTCGGTGGAGCCTGGAGCATCACATCTGTGGCCCACCGTGCCCCTCATGGCCAGCGTCACCAGCCATGGCCACACAGCCCCCACCCCAGCACCCATTCCTGCACCAGCCCCGCTGCCCGCCCGGTGTTTACCTCAAACGAAGCATCGCTAGACTTGTGCAGGTAATTTAATGATGCAGCTCGTTTCATGCTACAAGGAAGCAGAGGAGAGGCGTGATCTTGTTGCGCCTGGCCAGACCCCGACTCCCAAAGCGGCAGGGCCACCACCCACCCTGCACCCAGCCTGGCCCTCACAGCCCTGGTCCCTACCTGGTGTTCCGGGGCTCCAGGGGACCATTGCCCTGCAGTTTCTTGACCAACATCTCACTGCTCCTCCGTATCACATCCCGGATTTTCCCCAGGGAGCTGCTGCGCTGGAGGGTGCCACTGCCATCCTGGACACAGAGACACAAGCCAGGGCGACGGCTGAGCGGCACCGATCAGGCTCTGGCGTGCTGCAGATGAGTGGCCAGGAACTGGGCTTGGCTCCAGATGCCCTCTTGTACTGAGGATTAAGCCCTGGCCCAGAGCAGGCTTACTGCTCGCTACGTGGCTCCCCCTCACCCCGGTTCTCCATGAGACACAATGACGATGGAGTTGGGGGCCCCCACCACCACCATCGCCTGGCTCATTCAGACCGATCCTCCCTCCTGCCTGGTGGAAGCCCAACACCCAGCCAGGCTGCTGACCTGCACCAGGCCACCAGCACAAACGGCACTGGCAGCCCCGCAGCCCTGCTCAAACGTGGCAGAGCTCCATCACCCGCGACAGCTCAGGCAGCAGCTACCAGGGAGGTCCCAGGGGCCAGGCAAGCACCAAGCCCTGATGGGAGCCCCAAGCTTGGGGGTACTTTTATCAGGCCAGGACATGCTGCCAGGACATTCATTTCAAGGACTTTCTCCTCATTTGCTGCTGGCTGGAGACTATCGTCCCCCTCCCCCTTGCCCGTCCTCACCATGCCATTGCTATTCCTCCTCTCCATCCAGCACTCGTCCTGATGCACATTCAGGTCCCGCATGCCAAGCCTGCAGGCTCCCTCATGTCAGACAAGACCAGTCCACACGTACACACGGCCTCATCCCACCTCTAACACCCCCACGACATTTAGCTTTCAGCCTGCTGAGCAATTCAGGCAGCTCCATCCGGGATGCATTCATTTGGCTGCACCAATACTGTGTTGCCAAGCAGGCACCACTCTCCTCAGCCCCCCAATTTTAGCTGCGCCCAGCCCCGCTAGCTGCCCCAAGGTGGCACTTTGGAGGGGTTTCTTTATGGCTGCCTGCTTTTTCCAAAGACCAAAACCAGCCCTAAATATTGTTCCCCACCTCATTCCACTGCCATCGTGGCACCGAGCTCTTCCCCTGTGGCCAGGCATGCTCATTATGCAAAGTTGTGGCACCACTGCTAACGTGGAGTTACTTTTCCCTGGTAACACCAGTCTTCCCTGCTCCTGATCCCGGTGGCCCCTGGCACATCAGGGCAGAAGAAACAGAGACAAGGTGACCACAAAAGCCCTTTGCTCCTTACGAGCATGTGTGGGAGCCCCTTTGTACCAGTCCAAATGACCCAAATGCTCTGTGGCCCAGGCTGGCAGCAGGAATTGCCCCAGGAATCTCCATGCAGCTCTGCATGTAAGCAGGGGCTCTGCCTTAGGCCAGTCACCCCCTTGTGCTGACTGTGACAGGTTGTGGCCCTGGGGAAGGCTTTTCCAACACCTCCCCGCTCCGATTACCCAAAGCTGATCCAGCCCTAGACCCTTCTCCGACAGCTGAACGGGACTTTTCCCACCAGCAAACCCTTCTCCTGGTATTCATCTCATCCCTTCTTGGATAAGCCAAGTGCATTGAACCTCTTCACTTTCTCGTCAGGATGAGGGGGTTCCAAACTAGGAGCCATGTGCTTTTGCTGCAAGGAACCCACACACCAGGAATGCAGAGAGCACCAAAAATATTAGCAAGGTAAACAATTGAACTCCTGCACCAGGCATCCAGGGCAGGTTTTGGAGGAGCTGGCCATCAGTATGCGACACTAGCAAAGATGGAGTGGAGTATCTTTTGCCTCCCCACCGGACTCATGCTGGGTCACCACCCTCCCTGCAGGGTACTGCCATGCCAGGCGCTGTTCCTTTTGCCAGGGCACACAAGCCAGGGGTGGAGAAGGGAACACAGCTGGGTCAGAGGAGCTGGACCATGATACAAGGGCAGCAGGATCCAGCCAGGAAGCATGGTCTGGGGTCAGGGCTAGAGGATGGAGCCACATTTCCCCAGCTACAGTGATGCAGACTGTCTGCAGACCAACACCAGAACCAAATGCTGCTGCATACTGGGTTAAAAATAGCCTCCCTTCTCTCCCCACTCCCTTTTCTGCAGGGTTATTTTTAACCCAGAACATTTATGGGGCTTGGTTTACCGCAGAACCCCCACCCCACTGCACCCACCAGGATGAGAGCACTCAAAGAAGCAGCTCCACCACTGAGCCGCTCTCCACTGCGTGCTCCCACCCTGCCTGCTGCACGGAGGCAGAGGACTTGGGCAGCATTTGGCAGCACGCAGAGCTCAGCACTGGGGGACACAATGGGGTATTTCTCTGCCTAATGGAAACACTCAGTTGGGAAAGGTCCAAGCTCAGACGCTCCAGGGCAGCCCTGCCACACACAGCTACAGAGCTGAGGTTAGTAGCAACCCCAGTTTGGAGGTTAGGGAGAGGCATGGTGGAGCTAGGTCCCTCATCGCCAATGCTCAGCTTGGGAGAGATGCCCTGGGGGGGGCACGTCCCCCTGCACGCACACGGACACCAAGCACCCCCACACCTGCTCCAGCAGCATTTGCGCCCACCACCCCAGGGCTGACCGACGCTGGCCTACAAAGCATGGAAAGAAGCACAGGGCAGCGGTTCGGGTCTGTCTACCTTTAATCAGAGGTACGGTTGTTACAGCACCAGGTCCAGGACGTGGCAAAAACACAGGGGCAGGTGGCACTGAGGCCTGAACGCACCCTGCACTGGGGACTCCCTGCTCTCCAGGAGCATGGAGCAGCGCTGGGAGAGAGAGGCCAGGGAAGATGCAGCCCTAGAGCACTCAGCCCTGGGCTCCGCACCCTGTGGTCCTGAGGACAAAAACCTCCTTTCAGCAAGCACAAGCTCCCAGGGGAGCAGCATGCATGTGCCCCAAGGCCTCTGCACCACCGCAGGAAAGCCAGGCCCAGACAAGACACAAGCACGTTTAGTATCACAACCTGCCAGATGACTAGCATGAGAGAAACTATCTAGCTAAATAAATAATGGGGGGGGGGGTTGTCCTGCGCTGGCCTCTGGGCTCTATCCTGCTGGCTGCAGCCTCCCCAGCTTTCTTCCCGGGTAGGAGGACCAGGAAGGTTCATAGGAGGTGGGATGAGGGTGTGCACCCCAGGGTGGGAGGCTCAAGGCAGTGCTGGTCTGGCCCTGGGAAACATCCCCTTTTCCCAGTAGTGACCGACATCTCCAGACCCTGTGTAGGTCTGGAGTCCCATCAGAGGTATGGAGACACCCCCACGCATGGCCAGGGTCAGCACCGTCTTCCTAGCAGTAACGGGGTTACAGATTTCGCAGCCACCTGGCTAGGGACAGCCAGACATCGAGTGACAGCCCCAGGGACCACGCCTGGCGAGTCAGGTCCTGTGTTCAAGAATTGCCCTCCTCCATGAGCAACCTGGCCCCTTCTCCTCCGGTGGAAACCTCCCTCCAAGCCATCCCATCTGCCCCCACGTGCTCAGAGCACCCCAAGCCCCAGCTCTTCCTTTCCTCGCATCCTTCTTTGCACGTCCTTTTTCTCCCAACCACTCTGCTCCAAAACGGCCCGTTCCCCATCTCAGCCACTTCTAATGGCCTGGGGTCTGGCCCCTTGCAGAAAAATTGTTTTCCTCCTACCCTTCCTCTGCCTCCAAGGAACAGCAAACAGCTTCACCCCTACCTCTCCCTCTCCCAGCAGCCACACCTGGGGACCCTGGAGCTACGGGGAGCTGATTCACCCCTTAATGCCATCAGGTGAGGAACTCAGCTACAGCATCAGCTCAGGAGGTTGCAACCAAACATGCCTGTCCTGGCAGGTCCCTGTTCCATGCATGGCCCTTGGCTGTCACCCCCTCACCTTGTCTTGGATGTACAGCAGCTATGGGCCACCCTACATTCCCGTGCCCCTGCAGAGAGACCCGCATGCTGCCCCTGGGTTGCAGAGCTCAGCAGGGAGGAGGAGAGCAAGACGGGGAGAGACAGCCCTGTGCTGCAGGGAGAGCCCAGCTCACTGGTGGCCAGCGCAGGTTTGCTACAGGGCACTAACATCAGCTAAGCCTACAGGGAAGAAAGCAACTGGGCACACGACAGCCCTGCCAAGGCCAGGCCTCTCTCCCAAAACAGCCTCCCATCTTCGTGCCTCCGTCCTGGCCTCTGCAGAGATGGAGGGAACAAGCTAGGAGGGTTGAGGATGTCTAATGACGGTGGAGTCGGCACGGCTGGAGTGAAGACAATCCCCCGCAGGCCTGGTCCCCAGGGATGTGCAAGGGCAGGCTGGGGGTAGGGGCACGCGAGGGGACGGTGGCCCGTCGCCCTGGCCTCGGGGAGCAGGCAGCTCCTCGCAGATTCTTCCTGCTCTTGCCGGCCACGGGACTGGAACCGGGCCACGCGGCCAGGCACTCCTCTGGCAGGCGTCGCGGTGCCCTCGCGCGCCGGGAGGGTTGGGGGACTGGCGTGGAGTTCTTGCCGAGGAAGGAGGGATGGTGTGGAGGAAAAGTCAGAAGATACAACACAAACATCCAGGTGATTTGCGGTGGAGGGGAAAGAGGGAGTCTCGGGAGGCATTTAAGCCTAGTGCACAGAGAGGAGAAAGACACAATTTACAAGGCCGTGAGGTTGTAGGTCACCCAGGGAGCAGGTGGGGCAGGGCCCAGGCCGCATGCAGAGACAACGGGCCACGTCTGGGCAGGGAGGGAGTCCTGTGAGGCTGAAACAGGCGGCTCGCATCTTTGCCGACACGCTCGAGCAGGCTGGCAGGAACAGCTAGCTCTGGGAGGGACAGCCTGGGTCTCCCTGCTCTGAGAGCTGCCTGCTCCTGAGCCTCAGGCACGGGGTGCCTGCCAAGACCTCAGCAGCACTGAGCTGGTGCCGTCCCTGCTCTCCCAGGCCAGACCCTGGCTCTCCCAGGCCAATTACCTGGGCAGCAAGTAGCTGGTCCGGGCCCTGGGGTGCTTCCAGAGCTGCCCGTGGCAGCAGAGCACAGAGGCTGCTGGCACCCTGGGGTGTCCCATGGCCCTGTGCCTGCAGCAGCTGACAGCTAAGGGATGGCAGCAGAGGCTGCCGTGAGGCAGCATGTCCAAAAGTCTCTAGACCAGCACAGGGAGCAACTGGCCGTGACAGACAGGAGCAGCGGGAGCTGCCTCAGCCTTCTTTTGGGGGGAGCTGCAGCCCAGTACAGGGCTGCTGGCTGGGGAGAGGAGGCTGGCGATAGGTGCAGCAGGCTGGAGAAGGCACCGAGCATCAGGTGGCAGCAGCCGTGCCCCCCAGGGTGCTGGGCTAGCCCTCAAACCCTCAATCTACAGCTGGCTGGGCTCAGGGAAGCCCTGCCAAGCCTCTTGGGGAAGGGTCATATGAGCAGGGACTATCCCCCTTGGCTGGGTCAGGCTGGGGGAGAGGGTCGCATTGCCTGCTTGCCTCGGGATGATCAGCTCAGAGACTGTCAGGGAAGGTCTCCCAGACCATCACCAGCGCAAAGCAATCACTCAACACCAACCACAGCCAGGAGGAACTGCAGAGAGACACCAGCCAGGACAGGGACCAGGTGATCCTAATCCAAACCTGCAGCCCTCTCTCTGTGCTTGTCTAGCCCCTCTGCTAACTAGGGAGTGTGAGGGTCCAGGGTCGGTGCCTTGCCAGGGCTAGGACCCTCTTTGCTCACGATGCTGAGAGCTGGGACAGAGGACAGCCCCGCATCTGGCAGAGCTGCCGGGTCCCCTCGAAGCTCAGCTCCCCAGGTCCCCTCCAGCCACCTCCTGGGTACAATCCACAATCAAGAGAGCCAGCAGGCTTCAGGCTTGGGTGTTGAGGGGCTGTCATGGCAACAGGGAAGAGGAAGAAGGAAGGGAGGGAGCTCATGCGGGTTGGGGTAGAGCTGAGCCAAGTGGGGAAGGGTTAGTGACAGCAGATGTAAGGGGGGAGCAAGGACTCCGTGTGCTCAGTGTGTCACCCGTGCTAGGCCGCAATAACCCCTGGGTACCCAGCTACGCTACGCTCTGAACTAGAGTTTGCAGGAGGAACGGTAAGCGTTAACAGCTCTAGCAGCCCTCGAGCCAAGCACCCACCAGCACCATGCTCACTTGCCGCCTCTTCTCCATCCTCCTCCTTGCAGAAGACAAAAGGCACCTCTCCCAGACCTGGACCGCTACCTTCCTCCAAACTCGGCGCTAGTGACCAAAGTGTCCCTCAGTCTCAGAGCAAGCCTAGACAGGCTCAGGTCGCCCTGTCTGCGCCTCAGCTAACAGCAGCCTCTTTTGCCACCACCGGTCAGCCCGGCCCGGCATCCCGCAAAGACCTGCCTTTTACCACCTCTGCTTGGCCAGAGCCTACGGAGGGCACGAGGCCAGCAGAGGGGAACAGCAAAGATGCTGGCTGCAGACTATTCCCACGCCCTGCAGTCGCTCGGTCACAGACACACCAGACACGCACACACGCAACCCTCCCCGGGCTCAGCATCGCCAGTGGCGCAGTGCAGGACAGACAGCCAAGTTGCTCACAGAGGCTGCACGGGCCTGAGATGGGGCTGATGTTCTCAGCCAGGGCCTCAAGAGGGGAGCAGCAGGGAGAGATGTTAATAAGGATGCAAGGCTAAGATTAAGGGCAGACCAGGACCAGCTCATGCTGTGCATTGCCAGGGCCTGGCAGTCCGCTGGAAGGAAGCAGGAGCCCTCAGTTGGGGATATCTGGCCTGTACACCAGAAACCAGGCCCAGACACGCACCTTCGCAGGCTGGCTGGCTCATGCCAAGAAAGAGGGTAAGGAAGTGTGCGGGGAACGAATGGAGGCAGACAAGGATGCCACGACAGGCCACGCGGGGACAGCCCTGAGCCAGGCTGCCCCTTCCCTCTGGCAGCCGGCTGAGGCCATTCTTGATGGTGTCTTGTACTTACCCCGCTCCATTCCACGCCCATACTCACTTCCTCGCTACCGTCTGTGGCATTCTCGTACTTGACACTGCCCCCCAGGCTCCGACGTCTCTCTGTGCCATCGCCCTCCTTCAGGATCTCCACCACCTTCGTCTGGTTGATCGGGTCAATGCCCTGCAAATAGAAAGGGATAAGGAAGCACCTTGTTTTGCTCTTCTGGGTTCTTTCCATCTAGCGATCTGCTGTGCCATCACTGTGCTTGGTCCCGTCCCCTCTCTTGGCCATTGCCCCACCACAGCCAAAACTCTCTAGCACAAGAAGCAAGGAGCCAAATGCCACCCTGCACTTTGCAGTCCTGTTTGGGTTCCCAGCTCAACGAGCCCCCCCTCGAAGCCATAAACCACCCTGGGGGACAAGGGCTTGCTACCCCAAAGCTGACAGCTTTTTTTTCTTCACATTTTGGTGTGTGAAGGTTTCTGCTGTCCTTCAGCCTTTGTGCTAGGTGCTTACAGCTCCTGCTTTATTATTTGAGGATCGAGAGGAGTTTAGGGTGAGACATACCCTAAGAAATCCCTAGTGTGTTCCCTGGACAAAAAATTAGTGGGAAGAAAACATCCCAGTGAGTGCAGATCTCCCCAGTAGCTGACAAAGCCCAGTAACCTGCCCTAACCCAGCTGCAGTATTTCTGCACTCAGAGCCATGCCTTCTTCCCCACATGTACACAGACTCATCCACTCCATCCATGCATGCACGTACACACACAACCCTGTACATGTACACATGCATGTACCCCGGCACAAATGCAACCCCAACCACCAAGGTGCTCTGGTGTCACAGGAATGTAAACCAAAGACATCAGAGGCTGCAAGGCCCAGGAGAGTCCCTCACCACACTCCAAGCCAAATGCTGTGCCATGACCGGTGGGATTGCCACCCCAAGCCCCACAATGCCCCCCTCCACCAGGGAAGGTCCCTCTGGGGTTACCTGTCGCCGAGAGCGAACTGCACACTCCTCCAAGGTCTCAGCTGCCTCTAGCTTGCCCTGGCGTCGGTACAGAGCACCCAGGTTCCTCAGGGTGGTGTTCACAGTCGGGCTGCAGTAATAGACAGAAGGTGAGCAGGAGCCCTGGGACCACCGCCTCCAGAGCCCACAGCTGCCCACAAACCACCTCTTACCTGCTAACCTTACAGGCCTTGTACCAGCCGCCGTACTCAGCGTAGGGAGCACTGTCTCTGTGCTTGCTCTACAGGGTGAGGAGAGATGAGAGCTGTTAGCCCCATGCCTACTGCCGTTCTCTGGCCTGTGCTCTCCCACTGGGTGCTAGGATCAGGCCCCAAACTGCACCCCCCCACACCAGCCCAGCCTTTGGAAACACAATGTGCAAATGCGGTGACGAAGCCCAGCAGGTTCCTGGAAGGAAAGCTGAAAGCCCGTTTGCTGCAACAGATCTGGGCCATAAGTAGAAGTGATGTCCCCACCCCAGCAAGGAGCATAATCCCATCTCCTTGCCCCTTCCATGGTACCAAAGGCAGCAGGGACAACACAGCCCATCCTCACGGCGCTCTGGAGGACATGACACCCCACACCCCCCAGCATGTGAAAGGGAGACAAAAAAACCCCCAAACCCAACCAACAAAAACCCCATAGGCATGCCAAGCAGCATGGACACTAAACCCCTCAGCCATGGCTAGCAAAGCAATCAGCCAGCCACATCTAACCCTTCTGCCTGCTAGGTCAGACCCGCTCCACAGCAGCTCAGCCCAGCTACCTGTCTCTTCTCCAAGCCCAGCCTTTGCACCCCAAAGCTGGCTGGACCTGCCAGAGCCAGAAGCAAAGAGGCTGCTGGCCCAGGGCAACAGGAGAAGGGGCAGAGCTTGATGCTCAGGGAGAAAGATCTAGGGCCAGGACAACCCATTCTGCAGGGCACTAGCTGCTAGCCAGCGTTGCCCTGGGTCAGTAGGGACCACGGCACCTGCAAGCAGGAATCGCCACTGCTGCGGGAGCAAGGATGCTTGTCCACACTCTGTGCACGGCAAGCCCTGGGGTGTGTGCCATGCTGCTGGCTCTGCACCCACAGGACACGGGCTGGGCAGAAAGCACCCAGCTCAGCCCCGAGCCCAGCAGGGCTACTCTCACCTAGCAGGTGCAGGGGACCATTGCTCCACAGCAAGAGTTTCCCTCTGGCAAGGGCAAGAAACTGTCTTTACAGGGACCATTTTTCTTACTCAGTCGCACATAACTTCTCAGATCTTTACCCCACCTGAAGGAATCTTCCCTGAGCCATAGGCACGTAAGTTTACTTGTGCCAGAGCCTACGCGGCCTGGGCAGGCCCCAGCTACAGGAGAACTCAGGACTCAAAACACATCTGAAGCTTGCGTAGAGGCAGCCCAGGCTGAACTGGAGGGAAAAGGTGTCAAATCCCTTGGGGCAAATCCCCATCGCAGGCCAGGGCTGCCAGCTGCACCCAAGCCCCTGCTGCCACTGAGAGCAAAAGGGAAGAGGGGTGAGGGGAAAAAAGAACTGAAGCTCTGCAAGAGGGGTTTGATCCTTTTTAATAGGAGACGTGGAAACACAGCACAAAGCAGAGCACAGCAGCCCCAGCCCCTGGGCCAGCAGTACAAGCATGTCTGCTTGCCACCACCTGGCCAGGAAGGCCATGCCAACCATGCCGGGCCATGGGGAATGGGCATAGCAACCCTGGGGATGGGAGCCCCAGGGGCAGAGAAAGAGGTTCAACCCTTGCCCCAGGTTGTAAAACAAATCTCACTCCAACTGTAGGTCCCTGAGCCTGTTCTCCTGCCCTGTAGCAAAGCTTGCGTTATCTGGAGCATAGCTTCACACTACAACTATCTACTCTTAATTCTCCAAAGATACCACCAGAAGTGTCTCAATCACAGAGGGGGCAAGGGGAGCCTAGTCTCTGCTCCAACTTTGATTTCTCCTGCATAGGATGGTGTGGCAGCACACCTTATTTCTTTGCAGCTGAGGCTTCATAGGGCAGCAACCGGAGCAGTGCAAGGTGGAGCTGAGCACTGCTCTGCACTGGGGACCACACAGAGCACTTCAATGGGAAGACCTAGCATGCTGGTGGGGGTGGCTGCTAGTGCCCTGCTCTTAGGACTCGCAGGATGGGACTGATGAGTCACTAAGCCAAGCCTACCAGCCTGCTGTCTGAGCCCATGTTGCTCTGAGGCAAAGGAAAAGGAGAGAGACAGTGTCTGTTCCCACCGCAGCTAGAGGACTAGACCAGAGCCCTTCATTCTGCTGCTTCGCCCACCTGACAAAAAGCAGGTGAGGTCTTCGGCTTGGGAAAAGCAGAGACAGGACTCTGCTGCATTTATCAGCTAAGCACAGAGCAGGGCCTGGGCAACAGGAGCAACAGCTTCTTTGTCTCTCATCTTAGTCCAAAGCAAGCACAACCCATGTCTATCCTCTTTCAGAGGCCAGCTAGGACATAGAACAGCTAGGGCCTGCCCTGTGCGGACATCTTTTTCGGGAGGTTTGGGTCCATTTCCTAAGCCAGGTGATGGCAGCAGTTTCTTCTTGACCTCCATTTTTCCCTCAGGCAGCCTTAGGGCTGCTTCAGAAGCAGGTTGTGCTCTGGGTACTAGCAGCTCTTTGGAACAAAGTGCCAAGGCCCTGCAGCACAACCCTCTGCCATCCACCATCTTCCATCATCTGCATGCCCTAGAGGGATCACTAAAGCAAAAAGAGAGTGCATGCAGCCATGGCTGAGAGGCTTAACAACCCCCTACCCCAGGAAAAGCATCTCTGATGGGCCCCTCCCTCCCTGCTGCCCCAAGGAGCAGCCACACTCTCTCTCCACCCTCCAGACCCCTCATGGCCTTCATCAGTGGCCATGGCAGCTCTTCAGACTGCAGGAAGGAAGGTCTGGGCTGTGGTAAGAGAGGATCAAAACTCCCAGATCTCCTTCCCCTCCCAGGGCTCTTGCTGCTATCAACAGGCAGCACCAGCAGCTCAGACTCACCTTGCTCATCTCCTCTCTCTCCTCTGCATGCATCCAGATTGGCTTGTGTTCATCTGCGTGGGGAAGAACGTAAGACAGCTCCACTCACCACCTCACCCTGTTGCTCTGCCACTCCCTCTGGGGCTCTGCCACCTCCACAACCGAGCACTCTGTCCCCAGAGCCAGCAGCTCACCAGAGGGAAGTGACAAGGCTTCCAGATTCCCCTGTTCCCTGGGCCAGAGCCCCAAGAAAGGCAGCTGACATCGCAAGGGCAGGACAGGGGAAGGCAGGAACAAGTCCTCCCATGGGGGAATGCCTGTGCCAGGTGTACAGGAGAAACTTTAGCCTACGCCTGGGAATGATTGTGCCACTTGCTATTCCCCTTTTTAGCCACAACTATTCCCAACCCAGTAAAGACTGACAGCCAGAGCTCTCCAAGACCTTTTCTGAGGGAAAAGGTAGAACAGCATAACACACTAGAATGGCAGTGTCTCAAGGGCTGCCCAAAGAAGGGGCCCTGCAAGGCATCCCATCCCTCTGCCAGGGGGATACCAGAACCAGCCAAGCCTAGGCTGAGATCCAGGAGACCAACTGCTCACCCTTCCCCAGCCCCAACAGCTTCTGCTTTACAAACCATCCACGGAGCCAAACTCCTTCACGTGAGCACGGGTAAGGATCTCCTTATACAGGACCTCTGCATCTTTGTATTTGCCTTGCTTCAGGTAACAGGAGGCCTGCAACCAAGAAAACAGCTCCAGCCCCACTGGGCAACACAGGTTAACTCTGCCCCCCCTCTAGCAGCTATCTCTCTGCATCCTTCCAAGCACCAGGCAATGCTCACCTTTCCCATGACACCACTCCCCATCCCCACATGGCCTCTCCCCAGGCTCTCACCAGGTTATTCTTGGTCTTGGCCACATTGGGGTCATCAGGACCCAGGCAGCTCTCATAGATCTCCAGGGCCCGGCAGTAATAGTACTCCACCTCGTCATACTTGCCCTGGTTCTGGCACAGCAGGGCTAGATTGTTCAGCTGCTTGGCCACATCAGGATGGTCTTTGCCTAGGACCTGGGTAAAGAAGAGAAGCCACAAAAAGTCAACACTTAAAGACTGCAGTGTATTCTTGGAGTTAGTAGAACTGTAGTCCCTCCAGGACATGCCTATGTCAGACAGGAACCAAAGACTAGGGAGGTAAAGAGGAGAAATTCCAGCTTCCACCTCCTGCCACGCCTCTCTAAGGCTGCAACCACTGGAGAGACAGGAAAGGCGGTGGGAGAATCAGCAGCCAAAGAGATTAGGTAGGTCCTGATCTCCCAGGTGCAGTGTGGTAATGGGGGAAAACCCTCAGGGAGAGCTGGAAGGAAGGAGAACATGGGAGACCAGTACCTTCTCACGGATCTCCAGGGCTCGCTTACACAGTGGCTCTGCTTCTTTGTACTTCCCTCTCTTGCCATAAAGAACAGCCAGATTGTTCAAAGTTGCTGCCACCTGCAGAGACATAAGCTTCTCCATGAAACAAAGCAGAATCCAGTGGGACCAAACAAGGGGTGCAAGCAGCAGTAACAGTGACTGTCCCATTTCCTTCATGCCTGCAGTACAGCTGATTCTGAAGAGAAGGAGGTCCAAAGGCAGAAGGCTACCCTGCCTACATCGCAGGATCCAGGAGAAGCCACCTCCTGACAGGCCATACTGAACAAAACAGCAGGAAATACTGAAGCAGTAAAACAGAGCCCCACACCATGCGAACAGCACCCCTCGCATCACAGAGCACACTGTTGTCCTTGATAGTCTGGCTGCAGACACACAATAAGGGCACCATTCGAGACCCAGCAGCACCCACACGTCAAGGGAAGTGACTGAAAGAGGAGGGAGACACTCACCGCTGGGTGGTCTTTGCCCAGAGTCTTCTCACGAATGGAGAGAGCATCATTCAAGAGGTGTGCTGCCTCTTTGTATTTATTCTGATCCCTGCAGTGCAAAGTCAACCAGTTATTCGGGATTTGGACACCACAGCCCATACGAAGCAGAACAGCGAACAACAGTCCTTCTTCCACACAGATCCAGCCCCCAAAGCCCTTTCATTTCTCCATTCCTCCCTACCTTAGCCAGTCCCTAGTTATATTTGGGAGCCCGGCAGGCCAGACACCTCATCTGTGCCAAAACCTTTCTGAAAGGCGAACCACTGGAAGCTGGAGGAGCTCCCTGTCAGCAGAATGCACTGCCCTGGTAAACGGGAGAGGCAGAAAGCTCTCCCGGCCCAGTCGTGCCCTCCCCACTGCCCAGTCCTGCACTCCGCACCATGCTCACCTGTACACTAGCGCCAGGATGTTGAGCATGGTGGCCACATCAGGGTGGTCGTGGCCTGATGTCTTCTCCAGGTCCTCCAGCGCCTGCTTGCAGAGCGGCACAGCCACCTCATAGCGTCCCTGTGAGGCGTACTGGATGACAAGGTTGTGGAGGGTGCGCAAGCGTGCAGGAATCTCATAGCCTCCCTGCTGGGCAGCTGCCACTGCACTGCTGTGCTGGTGGGGCACTGCAGGCACAGAGGAATAAACAGGGGCACAGTTGGCACAGGAGGCTTGAACAGAGACAGCCAGCAACCATGCATGAGCAAACACTTACATCCAGGACCATGCTCCTCCTCCTCGTTCGGGAACAGATCATCCAGAGAGTCCTTAGCAGAGTCGCCCTCCTTCTCCTCCTGAGAGGATGGGAATCGCAATACTGTTGGTTCTCAGAGGATACAGCAGCAGCCGGGGCCGAGTCAGCTGCCAAACTCTCCTCCTTGCTGCAGCCCACCAACACCCCCAACTTCCCCTGTTGTCTCTGCCACCATCTCCCCCCTCCCCCCACCTCAACAAAACTAATAAAGCCAAATTTTCCTAGCACATCCTGGCATGCTACTCCATGTTCTTCCAGAGACTCTTGCCCATGCAGGCTCCCTTCAGTTACAGGCATTGCTGTGCACGGTAGCTGGGAAGGGGAAAAATCCAGGGCAATGCTATCGCACCTAGGCAACCCTGCTGGTCCAGCCTCCCCCTCCCCCAAAGGTGGCTGCTCAACATACCGAAGGCGAGACATCCTCATCATACTTCTTCAGCTGGTTCATGAACTCAAGGTGTTTCTTCTCCTCCTCCAGCTGAGCCACAGTTTGTTCACTACGCTGCAGCTTCTGCTGGGTGTTGGCAAGCTCGTCGCGCAGCCACTGGTTCTCCTGGCACAGTCTCCGCACCTGAGCACGCAGTTTCTGCTTCTCTGACTCCACAGCATTCAGGTGGTTGGACAGTGCCATCATCACCTTGTCAAGAGTCCTAGTCAGTAACTACCACAATCTTGCCATCTCCCTCACATGCATGCTTAGGGCCCACCCTCGGGGTCATGCAGGCCGCCTACACTCAGCCCCTTGCTGCCCCTGCAACTTATGGGGAACGGCCACACGCTCGCCTTCCCCTGTCAGTCCTGGGTAACGCCTGGGGGGGGGGGGTCACCCACCACTCTCACCTGAGCTTCTCCGAGCCCCAGTTCAATCATCTCCACTGACTTGCGGAGCAGGTTGGATTTCTCATGCACGAGATTGGCTTCTTCATCTTTCTTCAGGCACTTGATGGTCTCCAGCAAGCTGTGCAGGATGGAGTTGTGTTCATTCTTGAGTGCCTCCAGCCCTTGCATCACCAGCTTGGTGTTGGAAATGATCTCCTCTTGGCTCAGCTTGTCCAGTTTCTCCTCCCTTGGGTACACCATGGTGGACATAGTCCTGCTCGTGCAGCCCTACAAAGAGAGAGAGAGAGAGACAAAACCCGAGCGCCTCAGTGCTGTTTCAGAGAGCCACAACCAGACACAAGTGTCACAGCCTCCTTCAAGCAGCCAGAGACAGCATTCAACTGGTTGCCTATTCTAAGCCCTTCCCCTTCATCGTCCCCTCTCCCTTTGGCAGCATGAGGCTGGCAGTGCACGTGTCTCCGCTTTTGTGGCACAGAGCGCTGGCAACCAGTGCAGGTGGCACACGTGGACAGGAGACAAAAAGGCTAGAATCAGTGCTGACCTCCAACACCCCCACACTCCCAGCAGCAAGAAAAGCTGATTTAGCTTCCATTTAAGAGCAGAGATTTGTAGTTGGCAGCTGGGGTTGCAATGCGTACACCTCCTGCCCACAGACCACTGATGCAAGGAGGCTGTCAGAGCTCAACACTTCTTCCGACTGCAGAAAAAACAGAATAGAAAGTGAAGGGATGCTGGCTCAAAGCTTTCTGCTTCCTCTGTGGAAAATCTCCTGGAAGAGCATCTCTCAGACAGAGAGGCATCAGTGGCCTTACTGGGCCAAACAAAAAATTCCCTGACCAGAAGAGTACACCCTGACAATCCCAGCCCTGGCACAGAACAGCCATTGTGGTGATAAGGGGCATAACACCGCCAGCATGAACTGAATCACGCCTGTGTGGGAAAGCTTACATACACCAACTGCTACCATTACACTAGTGTAACCCTTGCGTGGGTGTCAGCTTGAAACACTAACAGCTTTTCCAGCTTCATTTGCCCTGCTGCCAGCCCAAGGTCTCCTCAGGATGGCCTAAGGACTCTGTACCACTCCTTCCCTGTCCTGTTCCCCCCAAATATACGACAGGAGAGTACCAAGCTACCGCCTTTGCACAGGGACACCGAGTGCTACAACCCACAATGTTAGCGTGGCTGCAAGATCACTGCATAGAAAATCCAGGAGCTAGGAAAACACAGCAGGCCAGAGGGTGAGAGACATAAGCAGCAGACAAGACCTCTTACAGCAGGTTGACAGCACCCTGACTGCTCTACGACTCACTCATCTAACCCCCTCTCAGCCTTCCTCCCAGCTTGGCCACCCCAGCAGCCTCTTCACGTTACTCAGCGATGGTAGGAAAGCCACCACCTACCTCGCTATCGGTCACTCCAAGGCCAGGCTCCTGCAGGGCTGAAGGCAGGCAGCTGCCATGCCCTGCGCAGGCACCAGCACCTCCTTGCAGCCCGCAGCTGGCAGGATGCGCTTCAACCTGAGCGCCCAGAGCCCTGCCGCCAGGAACCTGGCGAACTGCCCAGGCATTACGCAGGAGGAGGTGGAGGAAGAGCTGCCAATAGATTTTTCTTTGTCCTCCTGCAGGACCCACCTCTGCACGGTTTGAACTCTTTGTCGGGCAGCAGCCTTGTGCCTGCTTTACTGAGCAAGCAGAAACGCTGCCCCAGGAAGAAAGAGAGCAGAGCTCCTCTCCTCCCCAGCTGTGTGCTCTGCCCCAGGGGGGCTCAGGGCGATCCCCCAGCTCAGCTACCGCTATCCCTATCCAGGAGCAGGCCCTGAGCCATAGAGGGGTCCCATTTCTTCCTCACTGCAGCACTGAAAGTGAAGATGGCAAACAGTGCTGGGGCAGTTGCTATAAGTAACACATCTCATTATACCCACCCATTTCTTCCTCTTTAGCCTCACTCTTCCAGAAGTTCCTTGAGCTGTTTTATAGGCCTGAGCTCTCCTCTCAGCTCCTCTTTTCTTTCCGTTTCAGTGATGCACATCCATCCCTCAGGAAGGGCAGCAAACTCTCAACACACAGCAGAGACCTTACTGAACCTCAGCAGGGCAGAAACACTTCATGTCTCTTGAAGACTGGGTTCCTGTTCATACCTTTGAGCAAGAGCCAAGTCCTCCCCCACCTACCCCAGCATCTTAATGCTGACTTCACACTCACTTAATGATCCAGCATCAGCACCAACCCTGAGCCATACTTCAGTGTATCCTTCACTTTTGGGTATCTGCCATGCTCCACATGCAGTTACCCTGTGCATTGTGCATTTTACGCTGAAAAGTCTCATCTGGACTGTGATGTTTCCCAGTTTGCTTTAGAGAAGACGAATATGATAAGGTCATGAAAAACTTCACTAAGATCAAGATAAAGGGCATAGACTACTGTTTTGAAGAAAAGACTAGGTCTGTTGAGAGTTGGCTGCCACTCATATCTTTTCTTCCAAACTGCTTAGCTGCCAGTTCCTGGAGAATCATTCTCATCCATAACTCCCCTGGTTATTTTTTTTCCCACCTTTATAACACATCTGGGGAAGTGATCGAGTGTTAAAGCAATGAGGGAAGCCATGCCTAAGGCAGACTTCTGCGGGGGAGCACAGTTCAGGAAGAGATGTGCAACGATTCCCAGCTCCAGAGGAAGAGCCTGGCAGCCCAAAGGACGCTAGCTCTGCCACGTTGGGCAAAGCACTGCTGTCCTGCTCTGAAATGGGTCAAGGCAGCCTCCCAGGAAGGCTCAACAGGCCCTTACCTGCTTCCAAAGAAACCACGGTAACAACTGCTAAAGGGTGAAACAGCTGTGTCACTGGTTTCAGCTCATAAGGAAACACAGCCCCAAACTCAGAAACAGGGAAATCAGGAAGTGGGAGTCCTCTGGGGCACAGGCAATGCTTGGGACACAAGGAGATCCCCAGGAGCTGCCTCATGCCCCACATACAACAAAACTAGAGCTCTGCCTTAAGGCCCACGCAGCTGTGCAGCACAAGTGCTTCCTCATCTGTCCCTCTGTCTGCTGGGTCAGCTGTGAGATGCTGTCAGTTTTCATGAAAGCATTACTTATGTCCATACAGAGATCTCACTACCATCTTTAAAAAGTACAATACAAACACATTGGGAAGAGCAACATGTTGCGATTCATGATAAAAAGCCACCAGAGCTTGCACCTTGGTAGATAACAGAGTCAGACAAGACCCAGATCCATAGAAAATCAGCCTCATTAATTCCACTGTGCACGGAATGACTCCTCAAGTGAGAAATCGCCAAGCTGTGTGTTAAACCACCAGTGCCTCTACTACAGCAACATCCTGTCTTTCTTCAGCCCTTCCAGCAGAAAGAGCCTTGAGCACTTCACAGTCCCCACGATCAACTAGTTTTTCAGAACTGTAAAGACTTCAGACCAAGAAGGGAAAATAACCCAAACGTCCTGACCCACAGCACATCAGACTCATCCTTCCCTGCAACTACATCCTCAAATCCTCAAGACATACCAATACAGGTTCCTTTTCTCTCACTGGCTGTGCAAACACCTCTACACAAGCCTGGCCTTCCTCCCTCTAGGAAGACATCCTAGAAGCACAGCTCTGCTAGATACCAACATGCTTCCAGTGTTCAAGAGTGGACAGGGGATGGCCCAGGCTGGACACAAGGTGCAAAATGTGAGAATAGCACGTGGGCTGTTCACTTCCAAGTACCAACAAGAAAACAAAGAGAAGACTGCAGAGAAGTCACTTAAATACTGCTACCTCTTGCACAGCAAAGAAAACCATTAAACACTGGTGGGAGCTGACTTATCATCCCTTCAAAGTGACAATTCTTCCCTACAGAGCCTTATTTCTAGCTCTCCCCAGTGCTTTCAGGTCTACACTCAGTGCCCAGCCCTCCAGAGAGGAAACATGCTCTATGGCAACTGACGCCAAGGTCAGGCACGCTGAGGCTGCTGTATAAGCACTCTTCCTACTCCCACAGATTCAGTAAAGGGCACTGAGTGTCCTTTATCCATGCAGAAAACGCTCTCGGAGGTTCCTGCAGTGAGGAGAAGAGACACCATCATCTGCCTTTGGCAGGGGGAGATTCAGACTGGAATAGGAAGAATGCTTTTCCAACAGGTTTCTTGGGAGCTGGAGTGCCCGGCTCCTACTTTATCCTGCTGCATTCTTCACGGCTCTGCAGGTGTCACGGCCCAGGTCTCCACCAGCATGTTTCTGCTCTAGTTGGCATGTCTTCCCTATTTACAGTGAGCTGCTAGAATAGCCTGGCTTTCTGGCAACACCCATCTCATCTCCCCTCCCCTGCTCCCATTTGGAGGAGTGCTGCAGGAAGACAGGGAAGGAACATGCGTGCACCGAGCTTTGTGGCAGTTGCAGCAATCAGCTGGGAATCCATCAGCCAGCACACTCTGCCAGGCAGAAACCTTCCTCCTGTATTCAAGTGCATAACCGGGAAATCACAGAGCATCAGCAATTTCAGCAGCCCACTTTTCTGCCTCTGAAAACTGCTCCCACATGCAAGAGCTTTAAGAGGAAAGAGCTAGAAGCTTCACTGCTTCTATCTTAAACCCACAACAGCTGCCACAACAGAAAGAAGGATGCCAGACTGAATGGGTCCAAGTGAACCTTAAAGCTTAGATTATGATGCCTAATGCTAGAAGGCTACAGAGAGCACAGAGACTTCAGGTCTACACATGCCTCAAACAAATTCAGTTCACTGTCCCCCCGCATGTCCCTGGACCAAGTATATGTGAGACACGGGGTACCATCACAACTTGCACAAGCGATGCTGTCAAGACAATAATTGCAGCTTCCTTCAAACTGCAGATGGCTTGCCAGCACTTTCTGCATAGAAGCGGGCACAGATTTTTAGCAGCAAACTCTTCTGTAGGAGAAGGTGATTTAAGGATATGGTAATTGCAGAAAACCAGCTGGTTCTGGAAAAAAGCTTACTGTGGAAAAGAGTCAGTCTGACCCATAGCAAGAATGAGTGACCACGTTTGGGAGATAGATAGCAATGGTAGCATTTAGAAAGGGAACCATGGGGCTTAAAGTCTTATTTGCATAATAATTATCCCAGTCTCATGCTGTGAGACATGCTTTTGCTACCTGAAGAAACAGCAAGGTTCTCTATTTGAGAAGCAAAAAACTTGATAAAAGCAGGGAGGTTTTTTTTTTTCCTTTGGACCTCTGCCAGCTCACTACTGTTAAACAACAGAATAAAGGGTCTCTGGAAAGAGACCCTTCATTGGCTGACCACCACCAAAGCTAGAAGTGAGATTGCCAATGTACAGCTGGGTCTCCACTCCTAAGGAATACTGCAACAAAACCTAGACCTAGTACCTTGGATGATGAAAACGAAAAATAAAAGCAGTAAAAAGCAAACAGATTGCCAAGGTTGCAACCATTGCAGAGGCTGTGTCACAAGCACAAGTCTTCTCCTTATTTTTATACCATAGTGTCAGAAAGCAAACAGAGACTGTAGGAGACTACAGTCAGCTGTGCAGAGCCTCTGAGGCTTCCACTGCACAGTCAGGACATATTGACACTGCCGGGAAACTTGCATACTGCCACACCGCTGTCAGAAGAGCCACTGTGCTCAGGGTCACCACCCCAGGCCACTTGCAACAGAGCCACGGAAAAGGGACGAACCGGTGCTGCTCAGCTGCACATCCGTCAGTCAGCGTTTCCAGAGCCGCTCCAATATGGGTAAAACAAGAAACACAATCAGCTCTGCATGATGCCCCAGAACTTCACCACTAAGAGCAGCTGCACACACACGTTAAGGCTTTAGAAACAAAGGCAAGAGAAGGATGTTTTGCAAATGAAGGGACAGATGGGTGTGCAGTCAGCTTCAGGGTAACGTTAAGAACTGCAACATGAGCAAGAGCCAAAAATTAGAGGGCAAATGCTGGACTCCTAAAAGTAAGAACTGGTGGAAAAATCCTCATCTGAATTCCTTAGATAAACTCCTTATGACATTTGCCTTTGCTGAACAACACTTCAGGACAAAGGGGCCAGGCACCACAGCACTAGAACCTGACCTTAGGCCCAGAAGAAGGGAATGCAGCACATGCCTCCTTTCAGCAAGGTCCCATGGGGACAGGGGCCCTCTGTCCCAGAGCGAGAGAGGCAATGCAATCCACCTCCAGCAGCAGAGCAGGGAGCAGAGGCAAGGAGTTGTCTCACCCACATTCTCCCATGCCCAAAAAACAGGACTCTCCTTTAGCATCCAGGCACCCCCTTGCATGGTTTTAAAGCCAATCCCCAAGCCCAGAAAGACTTCGCCCAACCAGCTTCCCCAAGCTTTGGAGTCAGGTGTAATTCAGTACAAGTTGACTCTGCTGTTGGAAACAGCCCAGTCCTCCCCATCCCCTGGACAGGGATCAAGGCCAGGATTGCTTCTTTCAGCAGCAGCTGACACATGCCAGCTCTAGCCGAGTGTGAAGCTCCAGGGGTTTTTCGAGATACCAGAAGGCCTGTGCTGGGAAAGTCTACACTAACCAGCAGCCTGCAAGAGCCCCAGGGAATTTTAACTAGGACTAAGGAACTAGATTTGCAGCTGAAGTGGAAGGGCTCTCCCGCAAGGAGGTAGGAGGCTCCCTTCATGCTCTTTCCCTTCAGCACAAAACACTCCTCTCTGTCCCAGAAGCTTCAGCTCCCCACCACCTACGATCTCTAACAAAAAATGCACCGTAGCATAACCTTCCCGAAACCTAGGGCAAGGTGGAGGTACGCTGGCTTTACAGGGACTTGGCCGCAGTGACTCAGGTTCACGTCACTACAGAAAGGACCTGGGAGCTTCCCATCCCCCTCCTGCTTTCCAGCCCACAGCTGGAAATGGCAAGTCAAAAGGTACCCGGCTTTGTTCCATTTGACCAGAGCAAGCAATTCCTGTGTTACCAAATCATGATCCAATTCCAATAAGCATATGTGCTCTGAGGAAGACAGAGGAGATGGTCTGGTTGGTTTTGTATCAGATCACTCATTTCTTTCAAGACCAGAAAGGTCTTACTCCTTTCATTCCTTGGTGATCAAAGAATACAGACACTGGAGGCAACAAGGGTTAAAAAAAAAAACCAACAAAACAACCAACCAACAAAACCTACCCCAAACCAGCACCGACACGTGCCATTAGCAGAAAGCCATTTTGCTCCTTATTGCAGTTCCTGCTCTTTACAGCCCCAGCTTGCCAGGGAAACATGCACCTTTCAGCAGGCCCTTGGAACCAGAACAGCAGTCTTCACCACCCCCACCAGCAAGCTTGTGCTAGCACCTCCAGATCAGCTGATAAGACCTTGTTTTTAAACTCTTGCTCATGTCTGCAGCAGCTCACCAAATCCATTCTGCATCTGCTGTGCCTGGGACTACAGTGGAACACCATTAAAACCTGTTTCCAGGCTAGCAGAGATGAGAGCTAAGCAGCTGGAACGAAGCCAGGACAAGCACCTCTTCCTAGCTTCGGAATCTGATTGGGAGTCTCGCTCTATAAAAGACAGAGCAAAAGCCATTACCTTGCCATGACAGCATGAAGTAGTATTAAAGCAGGCAGAATAATTCCCAGGAGCCAGTGCCTCTGCGGGCATCTGTCTAATGTGAGGGCTATGCACTGGATGTGCCTCAGGAGTACAGGAGATGTCCAGGACGCAGCTGGGACCAGCAAGTGCCCTGGAACCACTCTGTGTACCCTGAAGGGCTCTGGAGTTCCCGCACTCCCTCCACAGTGTACCAGGGGCAGTTGCAAAGACCAGCTGACTGCAGGCTACGAGACTGAGCTATTATTTCCAGAAGCAAACGGGTCTTGTAAACCGTAACGAGGCAGCCAAATTCAGAGACAAAGCTCTACCTACATAATACGCAAAGGATCTATTCTACCTCTAGCTTCCCCAACCAGCTGGAGTTCTTTGAGGAGCTACGTGGCTCTTTCCTACCAAATCAAGCCTTTATCCAGCAACTCTGCCAAGGTCAAAAATCTTGCGACGTGTCCTTTATGCCCCGAGAGCCATTTTGGTATTTGGGGTTAATGCTGTTCTTCCTACCTGGACATTCCTCCAAAACAGCAGATGAGAGAACTCGAGCTTCCTGCTCCTTCTGCCAATTACAGCAAAGCTCAGCCGCCTTTATTTACCCTGCGTCTGAGCTGGCCAGATCTTTGACCCAATGTGTGCTGAACACCACCCTCCTTCCCCTGCGGGGGGGGCCTTCCATGACTCTGAGGCGGCATGGGAGACGGGAGACCAAGGGCACTAGAGGAGACCCTAGCATGGAGCCGCAAGGGAGTGCCAGATGCCAGCTCTGCAAGACACAGGGAAGCCTGAGGTTGCTGGTAATGTGGTGCTGCCTCCCACCATTGTGCAAATTTCTCCCGGCTGCCCGGCTGAAGCATTCTGCTGCAACGCCATCCCCCAGCCCTTCTTCAGACACCTCCTCCCAGCCGCATCCTCTCCCTCCCAGATGCTTACCAGCAATGCCCCCTCTCCCATCCCCCCCCTTTGGTAGGGTGCCCCTCCACTTCAGAACAGCTTAACAAGCAGATTATTAACGGGAGGAAGGTTTGGGGGGGAAACAAGGCTCTGAAAGTTTGCGAGCCGTTGCTGTATGCTAGGAGCTGCCTCCGTCATCGCCTCTCCGGCTTTGTCTGGCAGCAGGAGGCACGCCCGCTGCATATCCTTGGGACAAGCAAGCCAGAGAAACCCCTTCATCCCTCCTCAGTATCACCACAGAGAAATTCTGTGCCCACCTGGCGAACTGTAATCTTCCAAAGGAGAAAAGTTTTCATCGGCTCTGCCTGAAATTGCACTTCAAAGCGGTCCTTTGTTACAGGACCGCTGGGCACCCTGCCCGTCTCAGTCACCGGATGGGAATCCTCCCCCACCCCGCACCGCAGAGGAGTGGTACCTGGCTGCCTGCAGCGGCTTGTCCAGCGTTGGCACTCCCGGATGCCCCAGTGCCACGGAGAAGCGCAGGCCGCAGTGATGCACGGCTCCCACGGCGTCAGCCGCGCTGCCCTCCGGTTCTAGCAGAAGCGCAGGCACCAGGCGCTCGGCAGCCAACCACACTGCAGCAGGGGGAGGGGAAGGAGATGCAGCCAGGCTCCAGAAACAGGACGGTCGGACGCTCTCCTGGGAGCGCAGAAAGCGCCGCACAAGCCAAGCCCAGGGCTCCCTTCTTGGGGACCGATGGGAGCACCGAGGAGCGGAGCCAAACCCCCAAGCTGCCGCCACACGCTGCCCGAGGGGCTCTACCCCACCGTCAGGCTCCCGCTCAGGCGGCCCTACACCCAGCTAGATCTGCTCCATCCTACGCTCGCTCTTGTGGCGAAAGGTTTTACATCCCACTTGGCATCACCCTCACCTGCGTCCCCACCGCTAACCCCATCCCAGCCCCTACAGCCAAGCAGGTGGAGCTGCAGAGAACCCACCAGCCGTGCGATCGCTGTCGCTGTGCCCGCTGAAACGGGCAGAGACAGGACAAGATCCCTGGGAATCCTCCTGTGTCAGCACTGCGCAGTGCAGAGCTGGGCCAGGCACCGCCTGGAAGCGTTTGTTCGATCTCTAGATGCTTTACGCAGAGAGAGGACGAACGCCACAGCATCGCAGCATCCAACGGGGCCAGCGGATTCTTGCCGCAACCATCCCATCCGCGATAACACGCGACCTTCGGGGCGCTCTCTGTGATGTTTCGTGAGCCTCTGGAAGCGTGCCATCCCCAACTACCGACACCTGCCTGCTTCGTGGGGACTCCTGTCCCACCCCACGGGTCCCCCAACACGGGGAAGGGCTCAGGGCGTCCCAGGAGGGACCCCAGCCACGTTGACACGCAAGGTCTCTCTTGCCTCATCTCCCACCACACGCTTTTTCACTAAAGCGTCTCGCTGCTCTCCCTTCCCTAGTTCTGGAGGGCAAACCCGCCTGGCTAGGGGGTACGCACGGCTGCAGCACAGCTAAAAAAAAAACCAGTAAAAATTAAAAATCCATAGCAGGATTACATAGCGGGAGCGCAAATATGTATTATTCTTTATCTTACGCGGAAAGCCTTTCCCGGCAATGAAGACACGGCCTAATTATAGGCCAGTGAATCCCACAGCACACTGGGAGCGGCCACCACTGGCCCTGGGAACTGTGTCCGTGTCCGTGTGTCCCTTGTCACCAACACACCCCGCTCCGGGGGCTCCGGTTCTCTGCCGACAGGAGACGCTGGGGGTGGT